ATATTTTTGTCACTCTGAATTCAGTCCATATAATAAACGGAACAATACATGCACGGTTCGCTCGAAGATATGGATTTTATGTTCTCGTGTCAAAAACAATATCTCACTCGTTCGCATATTGTCGATATACACTTTCAGCTTACATTTCCTTCCGAAAACTTATCGATAATTCGCGTCACCAGTTGGTGAATCGCGTTCGGTGTGTGTGCATGTAGGCCATGTAATCGTTAAAACGGCATCGCTGCATGTTTAGAATGCTGTAATGGCTCTAAATACAATACAATTAAGGTCTATACGTATATAGTAGCTATTTTACAAACCCCTGAGTGTAGTCATTTTTTTAAAAGGCAAAAAATATCGCAATGCGTATTCAAACTTGAAGTGTAATTATTGTAAAATGGCAATCGTTTATCTATCTATTAAGGTAAAGAGTTGATATCGATGGTTGATTTTTCTAATCTTTCAGACATATGGCGCCTTTCATATCCTATTCTTGTTTATTCCATCAAACGCGGAAGGCATCGCGATCTTTTGTATCCTGCAGTCCATTTTATTTTCATAGAATTGTCTCGTTTCCTACGCTTGCACTCAGAAATGATTCGTTCTCTTGTCTTTGTCGATTCTTGCCCGGCGATCGTCTCCAGAACGTGAGCAATTTTTTGTCGAATATCCCATATATGAGTGGGTTTGCTGAGTTTGTCCCAACAGTGCGCAGCACTTCGGCAAGATGCAACGCCCAAATATGTTTCTTCAGTAAATCGTCCGCGCCAGCTAACTTTATAATGAAATAAGCAATCACAGGTAGATTACCAGCGCCATAGCAGAGAACGGTAGAGAGACAAACGAGGGAAGTTCGACGGTCGTGGATATATCTCACTATTCTCGTGGAAGAACTAGAGTTACTTCGTGTCGTTTGATTTAATCGTAGGAATCTGATGTCTCTGTTTTGTTTCATGATCGACCGACATATTTTGAAATAGATAACGGCCATGAATGAGACTGGAGCACAATACAACAGCAGCGCGAATGCATAACGAGTCATCCAATATCCTGTGTTTTCTTCACGTACAAAGCATTCCGGAACACCCGTTCCATAGCCCATGATCAAGCTAACGGTGTAGCCAAAACCACAAACAACTTTCAGTTTCTGTCGAGTGATGGCTGGCTTCAACGGATGTACCGTCGCACTGTAGCGAAGAACGGAAATTATCAGCATCATGGAAACCCCGGCGAATTCGAAGACGTAGGTTATCGCATTGACGAGGCAGTGTGCGTTTGAACCACGAACGAAGAACGGTTTTTCTGCGAAGTTGAGGTTGATGGTCATCATGCAGGTTACAACAAGCCATCCCAGATCACAGCTCGCAAGATGTAGAACGAGAAGATAGTAGTTGTTCTTCAGTAAATTCCTCTGTCTTGATACAGAGATTATAACTAACATGTTACCGATGATACCAAATGTGACAACGGAAAGAAAGGAAAATCTGTACGCCTCGTATCTTTGTGTAACATTTGAAGTGTGGCTTTCGTTCAAATTCATTGTCTGTAGTTTTGCTGCGGATTCGAGCGACTCGTTCATTCAGTTATCCTAAAGAAAATGCAACATATGGCAAAGTTAACATGGTCTATCAGACTAAATATACCAGATGTGCTCAGTTTTGTTCTGTCCAATGAAATTATTTTTGAATATTTAAGAACAATTCAGTCGATGGCGTACACAATGGAGGCGTTATTATTATAATTTTACAAGCAATTTCACATAACAAAGCCAAAGGCAAAGTTTCTTTTAAACTTCTTCTTTTTTAACCTAGCGTATGGGCGTCTAAAAATAGCCTACACGTTGACGTATTTTGCGGATAATGCCAATATTCCTGGGCGCTTCGACCAGTCAGAAGCATGCTTAATTTGTATAAGGACAAACGAGAAGCTAATTAATCATTTGCATGATTAAAACTCCAAACTGCGTATCAAAACAGGATTCAGATACGTTTTCAGGACCGTCGCTAGCAGTTTAACTCGAGGGTACATATTCATACATTCGTCTTTTGCGCGACTGATTTCCTTTGTTAGCTATTGTTTCTACGGTTGTACGAACATGAATATATGAATTATATACACCCCCCTCCAAATATAGCTTCTAGCGACGGCCATGTACGTTTGAATGATATTGTATGGCTTCTCTAAAAACGTACTGTTATTACGTTTAAGTACTGTTATTACGTTTTGAACCGGCAGATTAGAATACAATCTACAAAGCCTAGTTTACACTGATTCCTAAGAATAAGCACTCTACTTTCTTCTCACTTGTTTAATGTAAAGTCTAGCGATCTTCTATTGCTCAAACAGACGTCTCGTTTTCCACACTCGCTGTCAGAATAGTCCCATTCTTCGACTTAAAAGGCCGTTTCAAAAAAGCAAGCAATTTCTTGTCGAATATTCCATATATAAGTGGATTTACTGAATTAGTTCCGGCTGTTCGAAAAACTGCAGCGAATTGCTCTATCCAAGTATATTTCATCAGAACATCATTCTTGCCGGCAAGCCTCAAAAGAAAATAAGCAATGACCGGTAGATTACCGACGCCGTAACAGAAGACGGTACACAGGCAAACGAGAGAAGTTCGTCGATTTCGAATATATTTCAGTAATTTTGTGGAAGAGCTAAGATAATTTTGTGTAACTGGATTTGTACGTAAGATTTTTATGTCGTTGTTTTGTTGAATGATCGAGCGACATATTCTGTAGTAAACTATGCCCAGGAAAGACACCGGAGCGCAGTACAACAGCAGCGCAAATAGATCACGTGACATCCAATATGCCGTATTCTTCTCTTGCACGAAGCATCCCGGGATTGATGTCCCATAGCCTACAACCAAGCCTATGCTGTAGCCCAAACCGCAAATCATTCTCAGTTTTTTCCGACCGACTTCGGGTTGCAAAGGGTGCACCGTGGCGCGGTAACGAAGAACCGATATGATCAACATCATGTAGACTCCTGCGAATTCAAAGATGTGCGATATGCTCATAACCAGACAGTGCGTTCGGGAGGTTCGTGGAAGAAACGGGCTTTCAAAAATATGCAGGTTAATGATGTATACGAGGGTTGCAAGTAACCACTTCAGATCGCAGATCGCGAGGTGTAAAACAAGAAAGTAGTAGTTGTTTTTTGTTAATTTCGCACGACTCATTATAGAGACGATGACTAAAACGTTTCCGAAAATTCCAAATACGACAACCGAAATCAGAGAGAATTTGTATCCGTCGTCTGTCCCCTCTCCCATCTTAGTCGCTTTCGGTAACTTGAATTGCGGAATTCTTTGCTGTCGAAACAATCCAAGAGCGTATTTATACACGTCGCTGGCTTGTCTGTGCTCTTCTGAAGAGCAAAAGCAGATGGCATATAACAATATTTGAAAGCCAATATTTTCCACATGTTTGTAACAGGCGAAATATAGCTACTTAATTCCACCAATAAGGACCCCATGCGAGAGATAATTCTGTTTGAAATACGATTATTCAAAAAGATAATGAAGAACATTTTCATTCGTGTAACGCATGGACGTTATCCTAATCGATGAAAATTGTTAAGCATCAAAAAATATTGTCAGTTAATTAATTCCTAAGCGCAATATCGAATGCGTCGCACATCTTTTTGTAACTGCTTATCTTTTGCGGTTTTTTAGCCTGCCTGCTTTAAGCGTACGTAAATACAAAAGGCTTGTGCTTTAATCGGTTCATTTCCTAAAGTCCACCTTTAATTCCGAAAGTATAATATATAACAATAAGCTTCAGTCCTATCGTGTGTCGTATAATATACAATTTATACAAATATACAATTATTCAAAATATTTGGTGTACAAGTAGTACAATAAGTTGACTCAAACGTCAATGGTTTTTTATGTCGTGTTATAATCAATGAGCAGCATACAGCGTCTTCCAAAAACTTCCCATCAAATGCGTTCAAAGAAATTCTCGAACATTCGACATAAGGGCCCTTATGTCTTTATGACAATAATACTCAGCTAGAAAAGTCTAGTATCTATTTATAGTTTGTTTTACCTCTACTTTTGACAGTTTTCAAAATTGATTTGATGAGACTTTGTTACATCCATTCTTTGTAAGATTTTTTCGCTTTAGGTTCTTTAAACGTCGGATATATCAGATCGAAGTTCCCATAAAAGACATGTATACCACTTCATTTCTACGTAATGTTATACTTATGAATAAGTATATTTATTCAAGTAATTGTATTTTTCTTCAACAGCGTGACGCGGTCGACAGGGATGCTAATTAATAAACATTTTGTATTTTCCTTTATCGTGCAATTAACTCCATTACAGGGTCGTCCTTCAATGGCATCAATATACAACAGAAACCTGCCCCTAATTAACACAAATCACCTTAACCTTTTTATTACGCATTCATTATCGAGATGACGAAAATACGTTCGTGACAGTATAGAACCAGAATGATGTGCATGATGCAATTCACTGTTGTAAGACAGTAACTAATGGAGGTCTGATTACTCCCAAATCTTCACCCAATGCCTTAAACTGAACAGGAAGATAACCACTTATCTGGTCTCATCCAGTCTCCAGAACGTAAACATCGGTCAATAATAAGCTGTCTTAAATCTAGTGCCTTTCCACAATGTCAAGATCGACCCAGCTTGTTAACATGCCTAATTATACGAGTCAATATATTATTTATATATATAAAAACAAACCGTTTGAATTTCCCTCCAAAACCTGCTTTCGCGTTTGCCAGACAAGAATAAAAGGCGTGTTTAAGTTTAATGGCTAAAGCGTGGCAGTTAACATGTTGTAAATAGCGCGTTACGCCTATAGAACTTCATGTATCAAACGTAAACAAGCGCTCACGGTTAACGGTAGCTTGCAAATGGTAGTAGTACTGATTTAGTTCTTCCTCAACGTTTATGAAATTTAGGAAGCCGAAATTGATTATGTTTATTATTGATAATATTGTTTCTTTTCTATATAGTTACTGGATGTTTTTGGACATAAATCAAACGTCAGTTTGGTATTTGATTTCATGGAGACAGATCTCGAGGTAGTGAAACTGTACCTGAAACAAGCAGGAATTTCGTTTTAAACTAACCGGCAATTTTGTTTACATTTTGGGGTTTTTTTTCAAAGCCTGAATGATTTTGTTCTTCTTCAGGTGATAGTGAAAGACACAAGCATTATGCTAACACCTGCACACATAAAAAGTTTCATATTGATGACTTTACAAGGATTGGAATACCTTCACCTGAGCTGGATACTTCATAGGGTTAGTAATATCTCAATTCGTGAAAATAATACGCAAGCATAATACATATTAATGCTTCATTTTCAAAGTGAGCCAATAAGCTCGTCAATGAGGACCTCTTCTTTGAACTGATCAATTGTTGTTTATATTTTCAGGCTAAGCCAATCGGAATGCCTAAATTTTTAATACTTCATCTAAAATGGTAAATAATGTACCTTTTTACCGGTGTAGTCAAAATTTATGCATTCTGATTGGGTTACTGAAAATGTAAACAAACTCGCTGATTGGTCTAAGAGGAAACGATAGGATTTGACATTTTTCTGGTGGTAGTTTTCTCTATTATCCCAGCTTCTCGTTGATTTGAGATTTAATTATATTCTTAGGATCTAAAACCCAACAACTTGCTAATTGATCAAAACGGCGTCTTAAAACTTGGAGATTTCGGTTTGGCGAAATATTATGGCAGCCCAAACAGAATATATACACACCAAGTTGTGACAAGGTGCATTAAAGGATTGTTTTGGCTAGTCTCCATTTGATATACTGTAGTCTTACAACATTGTCTGCTTGAGAGGTTTAATGCAAAGGCCCATTTACACTATGCGATTCGTCGTATACGATTCGTATCCTGGCGTATGTGAACGTGTGAACACACGTGCAAACGTGACACTTTAAATTCCAACCTGAACAAAATTGAATGGAGATTGTAGCATAGGCCCTCTTTTACATTCGTCAGAATGATAATTGCATACAACTTATCGTGTAGTCTAAATAGGCCTTAAAATCGTCGAAGAAGGGCGTCGTGGTAAGGACTGGTATTAGCCTCCTGAGCCCGTAAACGAAAAACTTAACGAAAAAGTAAATCTGCGTACATGCTTCGTAGTTTTTCATTAAACGAATGTCTTAGTTAGTTATCATTGCCATGCTAAACTACAAGATTCGTATCGATCAAAAACAATCGGAAATGTTTCGTTTCAGATGGTATCGTTGTCCAGAGTTACTGTTTGGTGCTCGTATTTATGGGACTGGTGTTGACATCTGGGCTGTAGGATGTATCATGGCTGAACTCCTTTTACGAGTGAGACCTCCTTCTTGTTTTTAATATTCTTATAGTTGATTCTACCTTTGTTTGAATTAAACTTTCTTAGGAAGAAGGACACGTTCGCCCCTTGCTTAATAAACTGGAGAAACGGATGGAAATAAAATTTAAAACCGACTTCCATGTTGACTCGTGGGCGATTTGACACCTTTTCTTCGATATTTTAAACATGCAGGTTCCATTTTTGCCCGGAGAGTCAGATTTGGACCAACTCAGTAGGATATTCCAGGCTCTCGGGACACCTACTGAAGATTCGTGGCCGGTAAGATTTTTATGCTGGAACAATCTCATGCTAAGCGTCCTAAACCGTTTTCACAAAGACGACTATTCCTCATATTGGATTTCCTCAATAAGTATAGTCAGTAGGTCCAACTAAATACAAAATACCTTGCTACAAAAGGCGGTGAAACCTACTAATGGATCAGCAAGGGAACTAAGGATGACGGTGATAACATAGATAGCGATCATATGCAGCGAGGATTTTTTTGTATTTAGGGCTTGAAGACTCTACCTGACTACGTGGAGTTTAAGTCATTTCCCGGCACACCTCTCAAAGATATCTTCAGCGCCGCTGGTGATGATTTGCTAGACCTCTTGGCTAGATTACTTGATTGTAATCCCAACGGTCGAGTTTCATCAAGTCAGGTAAGAACATACATATGGTTTGTTTGCTATTCAGGTGATTACATAAAAGTCCTGCAAATTAAGTCTACTCCCAAAGTTCATAAATAGCATTTTTTCTAAAGGCTTTACAGATGCCATATTTTTCCAATAAGCCGGCGCCAACTCCACCAAATTTACTACCAACTCCAAAAGTTCCCGGGGCGGACATCGTAAAGGTTGATGAGAAGGCGAAGAAACGAAAACTGGCTGGCATTGCCGAGGCAAAGAATGGTGGGTGAATAGCATTTACATTGAATGAATTACCACTAACAATATTTAGAGCAACGGTAAAGGAAGTCTTCCTTTTGTTATGAATCCTACCGTTAAAGAGATACTCTAACTCTGTTCTGTTTTTGATATTTCTAGTTGGAAGCAAAAGACTTTTGTTTTAAGAGTGTGAAATTGACGAACTTAGTGACAATGTATCCGCGTATAGTTTGCAAGGTGTGGAAATGGTTCAAAAATTAAGGTGGTCAGAAATATGATCGGAAATCGGTCGAAATTCAAAATCGATTCAGTTAGAGAAATAGTTGCAGCAAACATTTTCAGCAACTTGAAAACAGTAATTTCGGCTTCAATTCCTCCGTCTACATCGCACACCTAGAGAAATGTGTCGCGTTCTTTATCGGAGTTTGCCGAATCATGACATTGTGGGTTGGTATATAGTTGTTTGGGTCAGCGTTGTTCATTGGGAAGTGATTGATTTCCTAAACCTCGTCAAAGAGAAAAGGATTGATATTTATAGACTAAGAGAAGTGTTTTCATTCCTTGTTTCTATTTACTAAAGTTGAAAACATGAGTATCCAACGGATATTTACAATATCCAGCGCCACTATTACCTCCTGAAAAGAACTACAGGTAGATCTAGTTTCGCTAGTCCTTCCACAGGCAATAAAATTGAATAATACAAATACTATAAGAAGATATATTTAATAATAAAACACATTTCAGTTAAAGTTGGCGATGATATAAAAATATTAAACAGTAAAAACAAAATAACACAGGATGTATTGTCAACCATGATGTCACCAGTCCGCACTCCACGTCGTTAGTTGCTGGCTCTCTGATTCCTTTATTCTGTTTTAAACAACAAAAGCTAACAGAAAACTATGGTTATGATGATATTATTTGCCTTATATTTTGACAAATTTACCAACCCTAGTCCACTGATAAATGAGTTTGAAACTTGTTTGAAACTAAGTTTTTTAAAAATAATAATCATTAATAAGGCAGAGAATAAAGACTGGAATGAGCTACTTCTATGCTATGGAACTGGAACAACGTGTGGTCTAGTTCCGGTCAAGGCAGGCTAGGCAGCCCAAAATGTCGGCCACCCAGCTTCGTTTAGCTTCGTGGATTTTAAAAGATCACTACGGTGAAATTGTAGCGAATGTGTGTTTGCAAATTTTGCGTAGCGGATGGGCAACCCTTGCAAGTATCATAAAGGAGACTGCTTTACCCATGTCAAAGGTAGAGTAAGTTTTTAATATCCTTTTGTGAGTTGTGGCTACCAATTTTATTCATTTTAAGCAACACTTGCTTCTTTAGTGCAATATATGAAGCCAGTGATGACCATAATTTAGGTTAATAGGTAAACGCATGGTAAGCAGGTTAACATATTACCTGAGCATACCTGTGTTCTTATTTTCTTGAAACTGTGTGCTTGTTTTAACAGCAATCTGCAGATTTATAATCTTGCAAATATATAGTGCTACATTTGCCTGCATTTAATTTTTTTCTTGCTAGATTAAGAGAGCGGTTTGTGTGTTGATTCAGCACAACATGGTGAAGTTCCAGAAGGGTGCAAGAGGCCAGATTATGTACAGTGCTCAAATTTCAAACATACTAGCAATTGTCCACTTCCCTAAGCTTGTTTACTGTGCAAAAACCGCATTTGGTAATGCTGCTGAACTTATCATCAAAGAACTGTTGTTGCATGGGAAGATGACCATGTCGTCGGTCGTCACAAATGTTACAAATCAATTGCTCGATCCAGCTTTGAACCAAGCAGAGGAAATAGATCAACATAATGTGGCTGATCAGTTTGTCAAACTCGTTGAGGAGCATTTGATAAAACGACACCTTGGTGATGATAAAGGCACAATAGATTCAAAAGAAGAACAAGATGCAAATCTTGGTATCAATAAACCAGAGAATGTGCAATATGATCTACCAGTAGGATATTTCAAATCAGGTATTTTCAAATTTGCACATCAGCTAAGTTAACATCTGTGTTGTTGGCACAATTACATACTTAGGTATGAATTACAGAATATTTTGAATGGTTTTTCCAGGCTCGGGTAAAAGGAAAGCTGGGCCATCTGATGGTGGACCCGCACCCAAAAAGCGAAAAAACTCAAGGTATGATAGAAATAGCCCCATTAAATAGACATCTTGAAGATGTTTTAACTTAATAATTAAACGAATCAGATTTTTAAAAGATTTGTTGATTCTTTTCTTTCAGTGAACAAGTTTCAGTAAACTTTGAGGTGAGCAGGTCTGCGCACAATAAGATCAGTCAGTATCATGGCAGAATTGTGCTAGGCCTATCGTCTGATTCAATCATAAAAAAGTATCTGGTAACTGGGAATAGAGGAGTTAATCTTTAGTCAAATGAGTAAATTAATATATTTGATCATTATGTGATATTTGATCAAGATATATTTGTGATAATTTTTTATTTAGGATTCTGGGATGCTTTGGCAAGTGAACATTATTCAATTCTATCATTGTTTTGTTAATGAGGTGAATTGTATTCTGGCGTTAATTACTTTATACAGAAGTGCTATATACATACATGCATGTCCATATGCCTGTTTTTAGGATTCAGGAGGATGGTATATATGTAGAGTTTTAATATCCTCGATATATTTTCTTGTCTTTGTACATGTGTTCGCTCATCAAATTCACTTCATATGTTTTTAGATGGTTGAAAATGCTGTAAAGAACAGGTTGGATGAGGTTGGTACATGGTTGTTATGGTTGTATATGGTGTTCCAATACTTACTGGATGAAAATGCAGTAATTCAGCACTCTGCAATTGTGTAATGATTTTGCAGTAATTAATCTATATCGGTTGATGCATATTTTATTTCAGTCAGCTGCAGAAATTGTGAAAGTCATGTTAAATTTAACAATATTATCAAGAGATTACTTCTCTCCAGAGACAAAACCTGTTTCAGTTAATGATGTAAGGAAAAGTTTGTTATATACATTTGTACATTTCCTTTGAAAATCTTTTAATTTATGTGTGTAGTTTGAACAACTGACGAAAACCGATTGTTCCACTCTTTAACTTGGTTCTTTGAAATTTCTGTAGATTGACCAGAGATTGAATGGGAGTTTGAATTTGGGTCGAAGTAAGATAACACAATATCTCAATTTGCTTCAGGATGATGAGGTACATAATATGTCAGAACTATATCCTCAAAGATGTGAAATGTTAAGTTAAAACCCTCGTACGAGATTTCCTATTGCTCTCATTGATTTTAGGTTGTATTTAGAATATCAGATCAATAAGCCATATATATGTGTACCAAATAGCATAGATCTATAGAAGTTTGATTTTGGTTTGGGTAAAAACAGCTTCATGGCTGGCACAAAACTGTTTGCATATCAGAATTTTGCATGTCAGTGCAGTATTCTAACACTATAAGATATTCATCTGCATTGTATGGTTCAAAAATCCTATGATTATACCTACTGCATAGTTCATTTTCCAACATTTACTGTTTGGCCAACTGTTCAATGCTTTCTGCATGTTTAACTGCTTTGCAGGTTGGTTTTGTTTCGAAAGTTGGTGAGAATGCTGGAGGAGTTTATGTTGTCAGTATCCTTTCATTGTTTTCATGCACCTGGTTTCAGTCATGACACCCGCTAGGAAGGAAATTTGAAATTTCTTGTGCCCTAGCCTGGCACGCACTCGACCATGGTCAAATACGCCTTTTTCCGGCGGACTCGACCATGGTCGAATACGCCGTTTTACCGCAGACTCGACTATGATCGAATACGCCGTTTCCGGCCGACTCGACCATGGTCGAATTAGTCGTTTTCCGGCGAACTCGACCATGGTCGAATTAGTCGTTTTCCGGCGAACTCGACCATGGTCGAATTAGTCGTTTTCCGGCGAATACGACCATGGTCGAATTAGTCGTTTTCCGGCGAATACGACCATGGTCGAAGTAGTCGTTTTCCGGCGAATACGACCATGGTTGAATTAGTCGTTTTCCGGCCAACTCGACCATGGTCGAATTAGTCGTTTTCCGGCGAATACGACCATGGTCGAATTAGTCGTTTTCCGGCGAATACGACCATGGTCGAAGTAGTCGTTTTCCGGCGAATACGACCATGGTTGAATTAGTCGTTTTCCGGTGAACTCGACCATGGTCGAATACGCCGTTTTCCGGCGAACTCGACCATGGTCGAATTAGTCGTTTTCCGGCGAATACGACCATGGTCGAATTAGTCGTTTTCCGGCGAATACGACCATGGCCGAATTAGTCGTTTTCCGGCCAACTCGACCATGGTCGAATTAGTCGTTTTCCGGCGAACTTGATCATGGTCGAATTAGTCGTTTTCCGGCGAACTCGACCATGGTCGAATTAGTCGTTTTCCGGCGAACTCGACCATGGTTGAATTAGTCGTTTTCCGGCGAATACGACCATGGTCGAATTAGTCGTTTTCCGGCCAACTCAACCATGGTCGAATTAGTCGTTTTCCGGCGAATACGACCATGGCCGAATTAGTCGTTTTCCGGCCAACTCGACCATGGTCGAATTAGTCGTTTTCCGGCGAACTTGATCATGGTCGAATTAGTCGTTTTCCGGCACTGAACTCGACCATGGTCGAATTAGTCGTTTTCCGGCGAACTCGACCATGGTTGAATTAGTCGTTTTCCGGCGAATACGACCATGGTCGAATTAGTCGTTTTCCGGCGAATACGACCATGGCCGAATTAGTCGTTTTCCGGCCAACTCGACAATGGTCGAATTAGTCGTTTTCCGGCGAATACGACCATGGTCGAATTAGTCGTTTTCCGGCGAATACGACCATGGTCGAATTACTCGTTTTCCGGCGAATACGACCATGGTCGAAGTAGTCGTTTTCCGGCGAATACGACCATGGTTGAATTAGTCGTTTTCCGGTGAACTCGACCATGGTCGAATACGCCGTTTTCCGGCGAACTCGACCATGGTCGAATTAGTCGTTTTCCGGCGAATACGACCATGGTCGAATTAGTCGTTTTCCGGCGAATACGACCATGGCCGAATTAGTCGTTTTCCGGCCAACTCGATCATGGTCGAATTAGTCGTTTTCCGGCGAACTTGATCATGGTCGAATTAGTCGTTTTCCGGCAAACTCGACCATGGTCGAATTAGTCGTTTTCCGGCGAACTCGACCATGGTTGAATTAGTCGTTTTCCGGCGAATACGACCATGGTCGAATTAGTCGTTTTCCGGCGAACTCGACCATGGTTGAATTAGTCGTTTTCCGGCGAACTCGACCATGGTCGAATTAGTCGTTTTCCGGCGAATACGACCATGGTCGAATTAGTCGTTTTCCGGCGAATACGACCATGGCCGAATTAGTCGTTTTCCGGCCAACTCGACCATGGTCGAATTAGTCGTTTTCCGGCGAACTTGATCATGGTCGAATTAGTCGTTTTCCGGCGAACTCGACCATGGTCGAATTAGTCGTTTTCCGGCGAACTCGACCATGGTTGAATTAGTCGTTTTCCGGCGAATACGACCATGGTCGAATTAGTCGTTTTCCGGCGAACTCGATCATGGTTGAATTAGTCGTTTTCCGGCCAACTCGACCATGGTCGAATTAGTCGTTTTCCGGCGAACTCGACCATGGTCGAATTAGTCGTTTTCCGGCGAATACGACCATGGTCGAATTAGTCGTTTTCCGGCGAATACGACCATGGTCGAATTAGTCGTTTTCCGGCGAACTCGACCATGGTCGAATTAGTCGTTTTCCGGGAGACTCGACCATGGTCGAGTACGTCGTTTTCCGGCAGACTCGACCTTAGCCGAATACGCCGTTTTCCGGCAGACTCGCCGAGAAGTATGTGTGTCCAGTTATAACACTCTGTATTGCGACTGTGCGTCCGTTACTGACCGTAGTATATGAAACTGGACACATACTTCTGGTGAAAAATATAACACTGAAACTTGCGAATAACACTACCGTAATATAATTGACGCTGAACACACGTACTCGGATCTATTCCCTCCCCCACCTTCGTAGGTAGGCCAGGCTCGTACTCAACACCGCTATTTTTTCAACAAAAGCACAACGTTTTTCACTAACTCTGTTTAAAGATATCAAAAAATCCGTGGAAGCTGTTTGTTTACAAAGTATTGAATCAGTTATTCGCGAAAGGTCAGCCCATCTTTTTTAAACCCTTGATTATCACAGTCTTGATTATCACAGTATCAAACCCTTGATAGTCACATCGAGATGGATATGCTATGAAAATGGTCCTTATTCACTTAGATGCGGTTCAAAGTCTTTACGAATTTTCAACCTGTTAAGAATTAAACGCCACTTGGAGCAAAAACAGGTGTGATTTAAACGTTTTTAGATTTCAATCATTTTTAATCTCTGTTTCATCCTAATCTTCAGAAATAATGCGATGGAATTTCCATCGCATTAATCATGGAATCGCCACATCAAGATTGAGGTTCTCCACTCGATGAGTTTGAGTCTTTTTGACTACAGTGAGCGAGTTGTACGACTGAGCTTTTAGAATAAAAGGCGTTCGCGTACGTGGCTAGAATTGTCTTCTAATATATAATATAATTGCTTCAGGTGGAAGATCTCATAATGGTGCCCTCTAAGGAAGCCAAGGAACGTTTATACAACTTGTTGTCCGAAAAGTTCATAAATTTGCAGGTAACAATAACAGAAAAGATGATGACAGAGAAAAGAGCAGGAGATCTGTTACACGAAAATGAGGCTACTCAGGTTTTCTATTGCCAAAACCGCCATTTGTGTATTTTAAAAGTTTTGATTGAAAGAAACTTTGTTTTTTGGTAGCTCGAAAGAGTTAGATTGAACACGATTTGGAAATTCGGGAAAAGGTCCGCTAGTTTCGCTTTCGTGTACCTCCTAAGAGGCCTCTTGCTCTTTTTCGTATAGGTCTATACACTCTGTACAGAGTTTATTTATTATTTAGAACTTGGGATTTACGAATGCAAATTTTCAATTGTGAAAATAGGAACTTTGACTGCGTAAACAGGCCCTCATCGACGTCTATATTGTTCTAGGAAGTTCCACGCGCGACTGATTACGCCCCCTCGAGGACATTCTATTTATTTTCTGTGAACGTATCTCAAGTGTGTCGCATGCTTCTTGATAGAAGTTATAAGGTATTTGTTATGTACTTATGTATGGTATTTACAATCTAGGACCACTGATCTCATAATACACTGGACATAGCAAAACCACTGATCTTATTATACACTGGACATAGCAAAACCACTGATCTCATTTGTACACTGGACATACAAGTATACCTATCAAAAAATGAATGAACTTTGTTAGGGGTTGCTTGCATCAGGCTCCAAAGCAACCACGTCCCCAGGCTCAGTGTGTTGATTGGCCAGAAAGTTCACTACTTCTTTCATCTCTAGACCGTGGGTAATCTGATGTGTCGTCGCAATCACGAGACAGAAGAACAAAAGTATGATAATTATTATTGATCAAGGCGTGGCTTATCAAGAATATAGGGTAAGCTATCTCATTGTGTCCATATAGGCGTCTGGTAGAAAAGTCTGAGAAAATCAATTCAACAATCTTGGCGCTGAAAACGCAAGGCATGGATGATGATTCACCAGCAGTTCAGGAGGTGAAAGAGATGATGACAAATCAAGAAACACAACAGCTTGCCAAGCTTCAAACTGTTGTATCCAAGTGAGTACTTGATAGCATTGGCTAGATTACATTTGCCCAAAACTGATGACTACAACTTCTGTGGTAATGATTACAACTACAATTAATATCCAACCATACCAACTGTTGAACACTTTGATATATTTGCACATGAGAGTTAGTCTCAAGATGGGTACCCCACAGAAATTGGTGGGGCTAAGGGGAAGTGAGCTTAGGTAATGCCAAAGGTGGATGAGAAACTTTCACAAGCAGCAAAAGCTTGGAGGTTTTTGGTACCTTTAGGAGATATATGAGAGTTCCAGCCAGGAAACATGTGTAAACACTGTACACTTTTTGGTGTAGATTGGAACAAGGTGAACTCCAAGTTGCTGATACAATATTGACATTCACACAATTCTTGGCACTAAGCAGCTAAGTAATAATTGTGGAAGGAACAAATTCTATTTTCTTAAAAATTGTAAATAATATTTATTCATGCAGATTAATGGCAATCAGCATTCTAAGCAATTCTCTTTTGTCTCATCTATGTTTTACAGCAGTCACTATTTTCTTTCCAAGTACTTTGACCATCATCATAAACTTCCTAGAAACACAAAGATCAAATTATATCTTTTGATTTTCAAATGTAGTTGGTCTCTGCAAGGCCAACAAAATGGAAGTGGTAAGGGAGAAATAATTGCATACTAGTATTGATATACAAGTAAACTCCTGGATTGATAAGTATAGAAATCAAATTGTGGTAACCTTCTTCCATATTGGCACAGTTGCCTTCAGTGTGTCAATGCAATACTGGACTGCCTCTAGTGACTCTTTGCGGTGTACTGATGAGATAGCGATCACCACACTTGCCTCGGAAATTGGAACTAGTCTGTAAAACAAAGGTAGAAATGAATATTCAATAGTTTGTGTGTAGACCTTACACATATTAGTTTCATAGATAATGCATACCCAATTCGGTGCACAATTGCAATTTTTAAGACATTCCATTTCTTGTGAATATCTTGACAAATTTTTGCAAGCTCCTTTTTTGCCATGGGTTCATAAGCTTCATATTCTAGCCTCACTACTCTCTTGCCATTAAAGGTGTCTCTGGTTGTGCCTGAGGTAATAAACAAGTGTAATATTAAACAGAGATCATGAAGGAAACACTATGAAATTCCTTGACTCTGTTGAAGTTTCTGCCATTTAAAATACACCAGTTTGGCATATTTCACAGATTAACAAATAGCTGTAAGATTGGATTTACCTACAAATATTGATGTAGCACCTGCAGAAGGACTGCCTACCAGGGAGGATGTCTCTGCAATGGAGATTGCATTCTCTGTGATTTTGATAAAATCTGATTCCATGATTGAAGTCTGAGTTTAGATATTGCTTCTTCTTTGCAACTGACAGCTAAGAAGCTCAATTTATGCTGTATATTTTCAACCTCCACTGAGTGGTGGGATGACAGCTATTTCATCCGAATCATTCAAGTTTATTTCTTCCACAAGATCAATATACGTCTCATTCAAAGCAAGCATAAGACATGATGAAAGTGGTTTCAGGCTGCAAAGGTAATCAAAAGTAATTTGTTTGATCTTTGAATAAATTCATGTTTAGGTAAATGGCTTAAAATCCATGTCAGGCACACACTGACTTAATTATCAAGCCATGGAGCACTGTGACACTAAATTATCAGCAAAGCCCTCGATTGGGAGGGCAAAGTGGCACTGTGGGATCCATAGTGTAATAATATCTATCACTTGTGTTACATGTGATTTTGCATAGACCAGGTGGTGATTTAGTAAAAATAAACCTTTATCATCACCTTGGCCAATTACAAATGATTTCTTCCAAAATAAAACGACCTTTGACCCTTCTTGGCAAGCGAAGCACTCCTGCACCTGTATTTGCAAGTTCTTTAGCTTTAGCAAATAGCAAAATATTCACCTGAAGACAAACACAGTAAAATAGTACCATTAGAGAACACCAGTACCATTAGAGCACACCAGAACCATCTTACTATGATTGTAGATAAGTCAAATATTGGACTATCAAAAACAATTGAATAAGGTGACAACATTTTCCTGTTCAAAAAGTAGGCTAAAATATATATAGTATGAAAGTGATGCTTAGTGGTTAAGACATAAGTAAAAACCCTCATGAGTGCTGACAGTGCTATTATGCTGATTTCAAAAACATGAATATTAGTCATTAGACATTTGTCTGAATTGAGTAACTTTTCAGCTTATGTGAGTTACGTCCTAATCGGTCCTATGGAGTGAAAGCAATCAGGCAAAATGAATACCTCAACTTTTCCGGAATGGCGATCTTCGTCCATAAATTTCTGCAAAAACCATTATATCGGTAATTTTTCTCCAAGGTTTGCGAGTTGTTAATATTTCACTGATTTGGAATCCGCTCGGTCCAGCCTCCCAAAATTTTTAGCCTTCCGTAATTTTGGCTCGAAATTCAAAATTTCGCTAATTCTGCCCTCGCTTCGTCTCAAAATCTAGGTATCTGAGTTGGTTTATTGCAAAATTACAACTATGGCATGTGGCAGAGAGATGGGCCCGTCGCGTTTTTGTACATTCATTGCCGGAAGTTGGAATAAATCGTGTGGAACTTTGGAGCTCCGAAAGGCGAAATCTAGCCTTGTCCGTCGGCAACTGCTTATTCAAAATGGTGGGGAAGATAACTATAGACAGACTTGTAAACAATTGCTTCAAAGGTTTGTGAATATTTACAGTATTGCTGTACAATCGTTAGGATTTTTTGGTACAAAATAATATTCGAATTATTTAATTTGATACATTATAAGGTGTTCTTTTTTAGTAGGTTGAGTATTACACGAAGTATTTGTGTTCGACGATAATGTTAATCCACTGAACTAAATTTCCAATAGAGCTCAGTGTGATAATCAGACGATAATGTCTTCCACTGATCTATTTATGATTTATGTAGTAAAAGCTCACAAATTTCGAGTTTTGGTAATCGTTGCTTTCTTGCACAATTTATGCCTACTGAAATGACAGTGTTCTTTTCATTTATCACTATATGCAAAATTTGTTGGCATTTCCAGCTATTGCCTCCTTTGCCTTTACTTTGTTTGAGGAAAGAGGAGTAAAATCGAACGACACAGCTCTAAAAAGAGCATCTTATAACGAGAAAAACTATCGCTGCCACGCTGCGCACTAAAGTTTGTTTGTTTGCAAATTGTTTCAAAAGTGTGGAAAATATAGTCGGTGCGCCTGCGATGCGATTGTATCACTCGACGTGAACATTTTGAAGTCCATTGAAAGTTTGAAGCAAAACCGTGCACTGCTCTTATCAGTTTTGCTTGGATTTATACAAGCTTTACTGTGGGATCAGAATTTAGTCTATGACTGAAAAAAAATATCGTAAGCGGTACATGTCGCAGTGCTCGGAAGCTTTTGTGCAGTTGGATAATGCTTTTCTGACCGCTTTCTAAAGAACGAAGCTATGCTATTGGTTGAGACAGAAATGTATTGTAAAGTTCAGCCAATGAAAATCATTCTTGCGAGGAGCTGCGACCCTACCCTCGTAAGGCCCTCGTATTTTATTCATGACGTTACAAATAAATCTGTCATCATGCAGGCGCCATCTTGGTTGACATTTTTATATTATAATTTGTCAGTTCTTTTCAAGAGAACAAACTAAGCACCAATAGTTGTTTTTTTTATTAAGTAACTGCTTACCATATCTATTATAATATTGGGTGAATCTTTAAAATGTAATATTAAAATACAGCAACAATATTTTAATTATGATTCGTGATCATGTCTTGAAAGATAAATCAAGATGGCGAAATATGCTAAGACTCGTTGTCTACTTTGGCTGTTTTCTTGTCAATTTTTTTTATTTTCTCAAAGTTTTACTATAAATTAACATGCCATATGATTATTATGATCTAATCAAGCCACGCAGGTGGTTTCAGTTTAATCAAATTGCCGTGGCTTTCAGTACAAACATTAATCGAGGATGCCGCTTGCAGATTACATCGCTAAAGTTAAGGAGTATGTAATTCCGAAAAGATTTGGCATCGTCGCCTATGTTTGTATTATTTTACACTTTAATGCTGGGTTGTTGATTTTTGGTGCTACGACGGAATTATGGGTGCGCGAAGGCCGGAAATTTACTTGTTCTTTCGGCCATAAAACTACGGAAGCCTACCAGAAGCAGGTCGTGCAGACGTGTTTATCAAAATATCGCACAGCTTACAACTCTCCTTTACCACTCTACCAATTTGTCTCGTTGAGTTTTGGTTGCGCGGTTATTTTGAGTTTAGTCTACTCGCTGATTGTTCAGAGACGGGTCAATGAAATAGAAACAAACCTGAAACAAACTGGTGATGAAGATTTGGATGAAGACGTACGACAGCACTGGGAGACTGTTTACATTTTCTTCTTTTATTTCAACCACCTCTTTCTGCTTTCAATTTTTGGGATTATTCTAACGATCTTGCAACACACATATTTTTTTCCCAATGCCATTAGTTTTAAGTCGAAGTACACATGTATTTTACCACCCTTTTATGCGCAGGATATCAAGGCTGGGCAACACGTTAACATCAGTTCACTTCTTATTCAATGCGAGAACCCGACTTCATTCGAGAGATGGATTTGGGGCATATTGGTTTCCATAGTAAACCTGATGTTCTCTTTTGTCCTGCTTGGGGAAGTATTTTATCTTTGCCAACGTTGGAAAATCTTTCAATTTCATCGTACGGTGGCTTGGGATTCTGATGAAGGATTTGTGATCGACTACTTTTTGCGCAAGCCATATATATCTTGCGAGAAAGGTATCGAAATATACAAGAAATCAGTCTTGAACCGCGAGAAGAGGACAGGTTTGGGTAACCTGTACGTCGACGTTGTAGCCCAGAATGATCGATCACCTCCTGGATTTTCTCAGCAGATGAGCACGAGCACAGAAGATGTCCTCAAAGGCAATGCTAAGCTCCCTCCAAATGCGGTTCGTTTAGAGACGGTTAAAGATCTATTTTCGCCAAACAAAGACACCAAGGGCGAATTCCCGCTGACTATTTTGGTGATAGGACAGCCCGGTATTGGAAAATCATCTTTGGCCGAAAAGGTAATGGCAGATTGGGCAAACGAAATCGACGGTTATTATCGGGATAAGATAGTCTTTCTTATCAATTTCACCTTGTTTGTGGGGAAAAAGAATGAAAATTTTACCCTCAAGCAGTTTCTCCAGTTGGGAACGCGTCTGAGCAATCGTAAGTTTCAAAGTATTTATAAAAAAGTTGTGGAAAAACCATCCAAAGTAATTCTTATTTTTGATGCTTACGATGAATTTTGCGGTGACGCCTTCAGTAACTTTCAGGACTCTTCAGAGATAGTTGACGACCTTGATAAACCCATGCCTATCGTGGATTTATTCATTAAACTGGTCTTGGGTGATATGTTGAAAGGAGCAACTGTTTTGGTCACGACGCGTCCAACCACCGATCATTTCTATGCGGAAATAAATTTTGATCGAAAAGTGGATATCGTTGGTTTCACCTTGGAGAAAGTTGAAGATTTTGTCAAGAGATTCTGTGACGAAGTAAATCGGGGCGATCTCGAGGAGATCATATTGAACCACATAAAATCTTCCTCGGATCTGTCAAACTCGTGTAGTATTCCAGTAAACTGTCACATTGTATGTAGCACGTTGTCGGCACATGTACGTGATCCAGGTGCATCACTCCCGGCAACGTTGACCGAACTTTACCAGAGTGCTCTGGATCCCTGTGAGGGAAGGCGTTTGACAAATGCATACATGCAAAATTACATAAAGCTTTATTTTGAAAAGGTTGCTCAAACACAAAAAACATGATTTCCTCCCAAGGCAGCGACGAACAAATGGCTACGCGATAAATAGAATGCAAAGCAAAGGACTATATTATATGTATATATCATGAGTATAAAAGATTATTTACAAATATGAATGTAAGAAAATTTAGGAAAAGAGAGAAACTTTTTTTAAATGTTGTCGTTGTTATCCGCATTTCGTAAACTATATAAACAGCAATAACACGGCAGACACATACTACTCGTTATGTTTTACGTCTTGTAGGTTAGGTGATTTGTCACTCAGGGGCCGGTTGTTCAAAGCTAGGTTAGCGCTAACCCTGGGTTAAATCTTACTCCGCTGTTTTGTTTTATATGCTTCTGCACCGCTTTTTTTTCAAGACTTTACAAAATAAGACTTCTAATGATGCACAAAATATTTATGAAAAAACATGTTTAGCTTCATAAACAAGCGATTAAAAAGATTGATGTGAAAATTTTAGTTAACCCTGGGTTAAGCTAACCAGCTTTTGAACAGCGCCTGGTCTCAATTAATGGTCTCAATCGTTAAACTCGCGTAAGTTTTCGGAAGGTGCGGAGAAACTTCAATTTTATAACAAATTCATAAAACATTCCGATCACGGATAAATAATACGCACAATTTACATTAGACTAGACAATCATATGCTAAAATGCATCCGCGCTGTACTGATTTACAAGATTGCCATGCAGCAGTTCGCTCAACGAAGAGAACAAGTTGCATTATTATATACCACTTGTCAAAGTTTGGTGTTCGTAGCGTTTCATTGGTCGAAAGCGAATCACGCGAGAGTGACGAAATTTTGATGTCGCCAGCGCGACCCCCTGCAGAGTAAGATAACGTGTTGTGTCATGGGAAATAACAACTTTTATCCATTTGAAATTATGTCTTTTATGAATAGTTATTTTGTTCTTTACCTTGTAAGTTAGTTTTTGTTTGACAAGTGGTATATAATAAAAAACTTATTTACTAAGAACTCAGAAAACATTATGTTTTGTGGACTCGGCTTCGCCTCGTGAAATATCGACAGGTCTCGGGTCGACAAAACATAACGTTTCCTTCGTTCGCAGTAAATAAGTGTTAATTATGTGCCACTCCATGCATGCGATGGCAACGAGTATGCCATGGGGTCTTATCAAAGACACACAGGTGGTTCATTCTTACCAAGTTACCGTGAGACAGCTGTCGAAAAAAGATAAACTTGGACGAGATACGAAACGAACGTTGATCCCAGTGATTTCGTAAGTTGATCGTCGATTTCCCTGTCACGAACGTAATTATTAAAAACATAGCAACAGATGTGTTAACTCCGAGTCAAAAATTTAACAAACCTTTTTTTAACTGCAGTAAGAAAAAACAAAATGCCGGCAAGATCTCTGGATATATAGCACCTATGATCTCATCAACGTTTTACAGGTGGCTCGTTTTAATATAACTGCTTTGCCACGAACATCAATTGCAGATGAATTTTACGTGGATACAGGACGCAGTTCCAGCTTGGTTAGCTCCGAGAAAATTTAGCTATGTCGCCTACGTTTGTATCTTTCTACACATCGCTGCTGGAGTGGCGATCGCCTCTGCTACAGCAGCGTTGAGGGAGAGCGAAACCCAGAAATTCGATTGCTTTTACGATGTGGAAACCTTGAAGACGTCCAAGACACAGGTGGAGCGATCTTGTTTCTTAAAATATGACAAAGTTTACAACTCTCCTCTGCCACTCTACCAATTTGTATCGCTCAGTTTCGGATTCACTGCTGCCATTACTTTCGTTTATTTGTTGACTGTAAAGAGACGAGTCGACGAAATAGAGTCGAACTTTAAGAAACAAACTGATCAAGAAGATGTGAACGAAGATCATAAGCGCAAGACTGCTTACGTTTTCTATTTTTATCTTGTCCATCTCGTTGTGCGTTCAATTCTTGGGATAGTATTTACTGTCTTACAACATGCATATTTCTACCCTAATGGTTCTCAGTCGAATTTTAACTGCGTTTTATCCCCCGAAGAAATAAATGCACCAATGGTTAAGAGTCGGTATCATTTTATACAATGTGAGAACTCGACTTCATTTGAAAAATGGATTTGGAGTGTTTTGGTTACCGCAATAAACATTACGTTTGCTGTAATTCTACTTGCAGAAGCTGTTTTGCTTTGTTCAACAAGACGAATCTCTAGATCCGTGACCGGCGACACAGAGTTTGTTATCAACTATTTTCTTCGCAGCGAATATAAGCCACCTTTAACAAGCGATGAATGCGTCACGAGCTACAAGAATGATGTTTTGACTAAAAATGACAGTTTAGGTCGATGGTACGCAGACGTTTTGATCCAAAGAGTTCCTCCGTGTTCCAAACCTTTGAACAAAATTACAGATCTACTATTTCGTTCGGACGAGGAAGATAAAACGGGGAAAACGCCGCTAAAAATCCTGGCGATAGGCTGTCCTGGACTTGGAAAGACATCCTTAGCAAAACAAGTTATCGCTGACTGGGCTAATGGAACCGATGAATATTATCGTGACAAGATTGCCTTTTTTTTCCAGTTCAAGCACTTCAATGACGAAAATTTGGGAAATTTAAACGAGAAACAGTTTCTCCAGTTCGGAACTGAAGTTCAGGAAACAAGAGACTTTAAAAGTATATATGACGCAGTTGTGGAACAGCCGTCTAAAGCCCTTTTTGTTTTTGATGGATTGGACGAATATGGCGGGGACGCCGATAGTTGCTTTACGAATTTTGAAACAACGAAATACCAACGCAATATGCCCATATCAGGAATGGTTTTCTTCTTGAAACTGGTCTTGGGTTCTATCTTCAAAGGAGCAACGATTTTTGTAACCAGCAGGTCGTCTGCAGCACCTACTTTTTTTAAGGACATAAATTTTGATCGGAAAGTCGAAATTATCGGTATGACTTCGGAACAGATTAAAAACTATGTCAACACACTCTGTGAAAAAGAAGGGCGAAACGACTTTAAGTCACTCGTATGGAACTACATAAATTCCTCTTCGCATGTTTTAAACCTTTGTCGTATTCCTGTAAACTGTTACATTGTGTGCATCACTCTGTTTCAAGAGACTGAGAATCGTAGCCTTAACAATTCAGGTTCAACAACGCTGACTACTTTTTACTGTGAAGCTGTAAACCATTTGAAAAAGTTTCATTCGAAAAATGTAAGTGGACGCATCTCGCAAAAGGAAGACCAGGCGATGAAACCTAAAAATCAAGAGTTTCATTCGAAAAATGTAGGTGGACGCATCCCGCAAAAGGAAGACCAGGCGATGAAACCTAAAAATCTTGAGCAATTAGCATTCGATCTTATGAATTATAGGAAATCAAATTTCCATGAAGAAACGGTTGATAGGCAAATTTTAGCATCCGGTTTATTAAACAAAAAATCCCACCATGGTTTACAAGCACAGTACTCCTTTCTTCATTTCACCTTTCAGGAATTTCTTGCCGCAAAACACGTCGCCGAAACATATTCCTCTGTCGAAATAAAAGACTTCATTTCCGGTCACGTTAGCAGCGACAGGTGGCATTTAGTTCTCCAGTTCATTGCAGGACTGTTGGCCCGGAATACGAAGATGCTTGTTGCAGCATTTAAGGATTGCATTCACGCGTATGCAGAATACATGGAAGTTGTTAATAATGAAATTGAGCTAAATAGCAATCAAGTCATGGTAATGAAATGCTTAAGAGAAGTGGATGATGAAGGAATTATTCAAGACATTTGCAACACGTCGATATTGAATGATGTTGAAAAAATTTATGGCGCTGATAGCTTTTCTTCAAGCGATTGGGAGGCAGTAACGTTTGTTTGTAGATTTATGAAGAATTTGACGATTTTGGATTTGGATCCAATGGGCGAAGATGGTCTTCAAGAAGTCATAAAATTGCTGCAGAAAAGATGCTTAAAAGAGCTAACGTTGCTACAACAACAGTCAAAGAGGGGTGGCTGCTTGACGGAACAAGTGTGTGAATCGTTAACGAAATTGGACTGTAAATTAGCTCATAGTTGTGCCCATCTGGTCTCCTTAAAGCTCAAATGTCGTCTAAAAGACGACACAAGTTTATCTAACACATGTGCATTTTTCAAACGCGATCGTGCAAGTTACCTTAAGAAGTTGCATTTTGGTATCACAAGAACATCTGATAGCGTAAAACTACTTGACGTTTTTTGCAATGGAAATTGCGGCAAACTTACTGAGTTGCGCTTTGAAATGAATGCATTAGAAAATGATGTACTGGTGCTGTGGGATACGTTGATTAGAAGTTTTCATAACTTTCATCGTCTTACCAGGTTAGAACTCCCTAGATGTTCTTTAACACATCAATGCATTCCCAGGTTGTGCGAGGCATTGCAAAGTGAACATTGTCATCTGACTGTCCTATCGCTTTCAGATAACAGAATCGATGATATCGGCGCTGAAAGGTTGTTTGAAGATGCTTTAAGTAAAGAGAATTGCAAGCTGACTACGTTGTATCTTGATTCTTGTGATCTAACCGAGAGATGCATTGGCAGTTTGTGCGATACACTCCAAAGTGAACATTGTAAGCTGACGGTTTTATCGTTGTCGCGAAATTTCCTAGACGATAATGGCGGTAGTACGTTGTTTAAAAACGCTTTCAAGAGAGGGAATTGTAAGCTTACTACCTTGTATCTAGACTCCTGTTATTTAAGACGTCAATCCTCAATCGATTTGTGTAACGCACTGCAGAATGAACATTGCCAACTCACTTTCCTCTCTCTGTCTAATAATAATTTTGTAATTTCTCCTATGTTGTTTAATGCTCTGACAAATAAGCATTGTAAGCTCACTACATTATATCTTGAGTCTTGTTCAGCTTCATATTCACTCTTCGAGACTTGTCAGGCAATCCAAGAAGAACGTTGCCGACTTACTTTTCTATCACTCTCACATAATGCCGTTGGTGACAAAGATGTGAATGGTTTGTTTTAATTTGGTCTGACAAACAAGTATTGTAATCTTTCTACCTTGAATCTTGAGTCTTGTAATTTGACTAATGGATGTATATCCACGTTGTCTGGGGCATTACAAGACGAACGTTGCCAGCTAACTGTCCTATCGCTGTCAAACAATTCTTTTAGTGATAAAGAGGTTTCAGCGTTGTTCGAAAAAGCTCTCACAAAAGAGCATTGTAAGCTTACTGAGTTAAGTCTTGACAATTGTGGGTTAACAGATCAATGCATACCAAGTTTAAGTAAGACACTTCAAGATTATAAGTGTAGGTTAAATAAATTACACATTAATTCAAATAAATTTACCGCAGATGGTATACAATCTCTTCGTGATCTACAGCAAAAACAAGTCTGTAAAAACAGACGTTTGAAAATTACCTGTAGTACGTATACATAGATCATAAAGCAATGTAATAACGTATACTTGTGTAAATAAGACTGTATTAAAAACATGTAAAAACTCTCCGTTATTTTTTCCTCTACTACTAAGCAAAGATATTAGAATCCCGAGATTAGGTGTCCCGCAGATATCTTTCAATACAGCAAGAGAACTCGAATAAGCATAAAATGCGATAGCTATAATAACTGCCTAAATATTTTTGTGCCCTTTAAGCAGGCAATTTGATGAAGTTGGCTGCTTTGTTGATCAATATGTTCAGGGCTTTTTTAATTCTCTTGCGAAACATTGCATTCTGCTTATCATTTAACAAAATTCTACTGCAAAACACACAACTGAAACGTCTCATCCTGCTGACGTAGGGACTCATTTAGTTCTTCGGCGGACAGTGGTACGAAAGCTATCCGCTGCTTAGCTGTTGTGAGCCGTTTTAATCGCTCAAAATTTGCCGCTTTTTGTTATAAATTGGTTTAAACTTTAGTATTCCTAAATTAAGAATTCCCTTCAAAGATTGTTACTTCAAAATGTGTCATTTTATCGCTTTAAGGCATTTTTACAACGTTTAAAAATCTCTATCCCGGCAAAGAGCATTTTGGTCAATGCCGAAATTTTCAACAAGCGAGGCAATTCGACTCACGCGCATTACGTCATCTTAATTCACACAACGCAACTTGACACGTTGTTAAATTAATGACGTAACACATGACCGTTCCGTTTCCTCGTTCTATCTGCTCTTGAAGGATATCCAGGAATACGTCGAACTTCTCTACTCTCCAGGACAAAACGTCCATATTTTAAAAAGGTATATTTTGTAGCGAAATTGGCTCGGTGGTAATCTGACAAGAAATACACGACACTCAAGCTCTTATGCAAATCATAAGTAATTTTCGAGGCCTTGTTAAAAGGCGATATGGGAGATAAACAGAATATGATTGTTCGATTAATGTCTATGGAACGTTTCCTGTCGTTCCCCTGAGTTTTGGAGGATTGTATCGGAAAGTCAGAGTGTATTTTAGTTTAGAAAGGACTCGTTCAACGGTTCAACGTTCAGAATGTGCTTTTTTGGAGTCTGCGTATGTATATCATTTAACGACGTAATTTTAATGAGAAGACCGCACTAATGAGCATTCCCGATAAAAGGAAGTCGCGTTCCACAACGATATTCGAAGGGGAAAATGAGACTTCACAAGAGCATAATTCTCGATCCGTGACGAAATTGCCAACCGGAATACTTGGAGTACCTTTGGTAGATCACGATTTGCCCGGAGATGAGGTAGGCAACATTAATATGCACTGTTGCAAAGCGACGAGGAATTTTAAAATCTCAGCTTTGTAGAGTGGAAAAGAATGAAGGATTCGTTCAACAAGAGCTTCAGCGTTTCGAAGGCGATAAAAGCATCCAATTTCACGAAATATATTTTTATGCGTGTGTAGTTTCGTCCCACGATCCTCGTTTGTGGGTGATAGGAAAGGATTCTTTCTTGAATGCGCAACAGCGTGTTTTAATTTTCTTTCATTTTTCACTTGAACATTGGGTGAGACAGTGTAGCCGCGTTTTAAATCAAAAATGCTATCTACGCTAATAGCTTTTTGTGTATGGAAAGTATCGGTCTGTTATATATATGGCTAATTGCAGTTTATTCTGCGATGTTAGGTGCAATTAATTCTCTTCCATTGAGGAAAAAAGAAGAGATGTGTTACATATATTTTAAACCGGGGAACTTATACACCAGGGGTCGGTTGTATCAAAGCCGGATAGCGGTATCCACCGGATAGTGATTTTTCAACCGTTCTAAAAATGTTCGAAAAGCGATAAAATTTTAGCTTGGAAGCAACAATTATTAAAGAGGATCCTCGATTTAAGAATACTAAGATTTAATCAAAGTTGTGGCAAATAACGAGCGATTTTGAAGCGATTGAAAAAACCACTATCCGGTGGATAGAGTAAGGTGCAGTAAAATTAGAGATTCATAAATCGTGGCGCGTACTTCAATGCGAATTACAACGATTTGTGAAATACGTAAATCACAGTTTATGTATGAACTCTAAGAGACAGCCAGGCCGGCATTGAGTCTTCTTCGTCGTAAAGGCCAATTAATTTTGGCACAATTTTGCTACAATTTTGCATTTTCAATTATCATCACGCGCTTTGTTTATTCGTTTGCTTTAATTCTTGCGGTTTCCTCACGAATTTTACGCTAATTTCTTCTTCAATGAAAATTAGATTCAATTGATAGATGTCTAGACACACGTAACACTATAACATCAACAAAGAATATCGCTTGCAGGTTTTCAATTAGAAAAAGATGAATCTCAAACGATAATTTGCACATTTTTCGAGTGTGTATCCAATATTAATTATTCCATAATTTTTTTTCTTGTTAAAATTCCTAGCAACAAATAACTAAATAGAAATTCGATGATGATGAATTTGCACGTGAAAATTTGCACATTCTGCCATCGGGGTGAAACGCGACTCTTGACAATATTTTTCGCTATAAATCCATTAAATTTTCGAAGAATATTCCTCATAGGCTTTTTTCTTCGCGTCTCCAGCTGCGAATTTCCAACCACCCCAAGCACCCCCGCGCGCTCAGTGCTGTACCACGAAATACTTCCAAGAGCCTGGGAACGAGGCTTGGCTTTTATGCGATGCCACTGTTGCCTCAAAGACTAGCAGTCACGTACGGCTATTCAGTTATTTACAAATTTCGATTGTTATCTAATTTCTAGACGTTCGTTGTTATTGCAAGAAGATTTGGCAAACAGATTGTTTATCGATTCAACAAACAGAAAAGTCTTTGCTTATTTTCCCCACGAAGTTCGCTAAGACAGTTCGTCATTTTCCTCACGACGAATCAGTATCCTTTGCATATCTTACACATTTACAACTTTTAATATATTTAAACAGTAAACTGTCCATTTTCTTCGGTTTGTGGCCAAATGTACAATATGTGCGTGAACATGTGACATGAAAAAAACTGATTTCCATCAATGCGTATCAATATATAATAACGACGTTATCAAATATTGTCAAATATTTGGCACTTTTTGACAAAAATTATCCAGGTGCAAATTTGCCAGTACCTAAAAGGGAGAAAATGTTCCGGAGGGATGCCTTCGAGGCTAAACGGTTTTCGTCCCTGCCCCGGGGGGGGCGTTTTTATACTTGAAAAAGCTCTGCTTAAATGGGTTTGCTCCTAATGAATGGTACGTATTTCTTTAACTGCGATTCTAAAGATATTTCGAGTTGTTCATCTTGGTGTTGATCATTATCAACTGCATTTTGTTGGCTTTCAAAGACCAACCTGAGGAAGTCGAGTATGTTGTTTTGAGGAATGTAAAGGCCCCTTTACACTTGCGACTTTCCTCTTTTGATAGATGTGAATGAGTACTTAGTTACAAATGCTCTGATATATAAAAACTCGTATTTGAACATCAGTAACCAATTCACTCGTTCACATCTATCAAAATAAGAAAATCGCACACGAAATCGCAGCCAAAATTGCAAGTGTAAACGGGCCTTAACATGCCCTGGTGATGCTAGTTCAATTTCTTTTGTGTGACTGTGAATCTCGTCACCGATAAATAAAACCATTTAAAATGTTTTATATCGTAATGCAGGTACGTGTTCGCAGCGCTGTACACGATGGAAATGATTTTGAAGATCATTGGAAAAGGATTTTGTCTTCATAAATTTGCCTATCTTCGTGATCCGTGGAACTGGTTGGATTTTATCGTTGTTATTTTAGGGTAAGCTTAAACTTGGCACATAGGGGCGCACCCCAAAGTGACCCCATCCCCTTGTGCCCTTTTACGAAATCTTCTACGACTAGCGACACCCTCACTGCATGATTGTTACGGCCTTGTGAAAATATGAGTACCTTGTTTGAAAAGCCTGTTTAACTCTTTTGTACTTTTCTAGGAATATTTTGAACATTTTTAAAACGTTTTATGTTTCATCGCTTATTTAGATATCTTACTATGGCACCCAGTGTAGCTAATCTCTCGGGCATAAGGACATTTCGTGTGCTGAGGGCTCTAAGAACGATATCTGTCATTGAAGGTTCGTGTCTCAGGCAGTAGCGTAGCCAGCCTGTCGATTTGTCCCGCTATGCTAATATTTTAGTATTAATATTGACTGTGAAAACAATAGATTTCTAAAGACATGAATAATTATAATAACTCGAAATGTACATAGCGGGACAAAATCGTCAGGCTGGCCACGCCGCTGGTCTCAGGTTGTGTTTATTTGACAATTGTATTCAGCTGAATTCATTACGTCGTTCAGTAAAAACTTTAAATGAAATAAGACTCAATTTGTATTTTAATATTTTAATCTTTTTTCATTTAATGGTTGCGAACGAAGACTCAATTTGAAGTATTTTAATCTTTTTTTCATTTAAGGGTTGCGAACAATGGTGAATGCTTTCCTAAGATCAATGCGAATGTTGACGGACGTTCTTGGGTTGTCCTTGTTTTTTATTTCCATATTCGCTCTGGTTGGCATGCAATTGTTTGTGGGAGTTCTGAGGAACAAATGCGTTTTGAATCCTGGAGTCAATGTTTCGGATTTCGATGCATTCGTCGCTAATGAGAGTAAGTTTTCTGAAGTATAGTTTCTCCTTCAACCTGGCGTGTGCTGTCTCTCAAGCGGCCAAAATGGTCAAACCGGCCCATATTTTGATTTGCAATGAAATGTTTCGTTAAAAATACAGCGGTTAAAGTACTTTTTCGTTCTAGGTAGACTTTAATTACAATATGTTAGTTCTTGAAACACTGTATATGCCAGTAATCTGTCTGTACTGAAATACAAACAGCCTTAGCTATATATGTATATATTTGTTCGTACTAATCCAATGAAATTCCTTACCATGTGAACACTTGTCGATGTTATCAGGTAATTGGTTGTTCGTCGACGATGATCCAGTGGTCTGTGGCAATGGTTCAACAGCAAGGTTGGTAAGAAACGCGATGTGCTCACTCGCTACTGGTTACCTTCGAAGCCCGCCAAAAACTTATTAAAATATTATAAAAATATTATCTACGACCTGGTAGCTCTCTGTGGGAGTCGATCGATTGACATTTTTACCATTACAGCTATTGCTTAGAAATAAAGCGAAGAAAATGTTTAACTCAGTCATGTTCAAACAAAGCCTCATAACAAAAATTGTTAATAGTGACTGGAAAGCTTAAGGCCTGTCCACATGGGTCATTTTAGTTGCGATTTTCTCCTTCTGGTAGATGTGATCAAGTGACTAAGTTACGGGTGTTGAAATATGAGCTTTGTATGCATACAGCATTCATAGTTATTTACTACCTTTTTTGTATCGCACAGAAGTTAATCTAACGATGAACAGAGAGTCGAATGCAATTCAAACAGATCATAAAGGGATCCTTAAGATAAACGAAGTGTCACGCCTCCTTGCATGGCTATTTTTTGAATTGCATTTGACGGGATAAAATGCGGCGTATAAACCAGGCCCTATACATTCATTCTTGTTTCTCAGGTCGTGTCCAGCAAACTACACGTGTTTCTCTGATATTGGAGACAATCCTAACCATGGCTACACGAGCTTCGATACGTTTCCCTGGGCGCTGTTATGCACTGTGCAGCTGGTGACCGCTGATTACTGGGAAAATGTCTACGAATACGTAAGTAGCACATTTAGGCGAACTACTCTCAGTTGAGTGCTTGAATAAACACTGTCTAATAGACCCTTCATGTCAAACGAGGTTTTATCCCGTAGCTGTGGTGATTTGACCCTTATTTTCGCTCCCCTATAGCCATACCCTCTGAGGCATGCTTTTGTAGCTAGAGTATCCGGACTTTTTCCATTATAAATAATGTTATTTACCAGCTTTCCTTTCGACGTTTTCCCCGACAATGGCTTTGTTTATAATATTCTTGTAAGTTTGCATGGTGAAATTAATAAGTAAATTAGCTTATAGGTACACCACGTAAGTATTTAATACTGGAAAGCTTTCGGTCCGTTAACCCGGCCTTCATCAGTGCAAAGCTGTGCTAAATACTTACGTTGTGTACCTACAAGCTAAATAAATTTACTTAATGGCTTTGTTTGGTATACTGAATTATGACGTGTTCTCTGTTTTTTTTTGGTATTAACCCATAACAAATGGAGCATTATTTTTGACATGAACTCTCGTTTGCCAACTCTCAAATAATTCTTTCATGCATTAAGAATCATTTTCCGTTGTAGATAATCGCATCAACTGGTTTCTGGTCAGTGTTTTATTTTCTCTTGGTTATATTCTTTGGTTCATTCTACATCCTCAATCTCATCCTGGCTGTCGTGGCATTATCATATCAGCAGGAAATGGCTAATTTGAAAAATAAGGTGAAGATTTTTGCATTCTGTTTGCGTTCGTATCGTCTCAATGTTCTGCCCATTTGTTTTTCGAGAGATACGACTAACCAAAGCCACTCTTGCCCTCACCTCACTCGCGTCCTGATTTTATACTGAAGGATGCCTTAATCGTCTTTAGGAAGCCGATTACCACAGGCTTACTATCACAATCCTTAATCTTCGTTAGGAAACTTGCTAGCTACCACAAGCTTCTTCCATAAGCCTTAATCTTCTTTAGGAAGCCGGTTACCGCAGGCTTACTATCGCAGTCCTTAATCTTCCATAGGAAGCTGATTACCGCAAGCCTCTTCCACAATCTTTAAACTCCTTTAGGAGGCCGATTACCACAGGCTTACTATCACAATCCTTAATCTCCTTTAGGAAGCTGGCTACCACAATCGCAATCCTTAATCCATGCACTTACTACCTTAGTCTCTTTTTAGGAAGCTGACCACCACAAGCTTCTTCTATAAGCCTTAAACTCCTTTAGGAAGCCGATTACCACAGACTTACTATCTCAATCCTTAATCTTGCTTAGGAAGCCGATTACCACAGGCGTACTATCTCAATCCTTAATCTTCCTTTGGAAGCTGATTACCGCAAGCTTACTAACAGAATCCTTAATCTCCTTTAGGAAGCTGACTTTCACAAATTGAAAACGACATCATCTTCTTACTCACTCCACGAATCTTTTAAAGCTCAAAAGTTGTTCCCAACGAAACCTTTAAACTTGTCTTCCATTCGTCGTCGCTCAACCAAAACCTCACCTTATGTTGGTGTCTCGGCCGCTTCCCCTGGGCCGTATCACCCCTCATCACCGGATGACGGAAACATAGCGGAGCTAAGTCCCCTAACCTTAGACAAAGTGACACCTTATGCTTTTGATAACGAGAGCGTGGCGTCGTTCTATAACTACGAGCCTAGCGTGATGGAGGAAATTAGAAACGGTTCAAAGCATAATTTAGACAAGGATAAGGACTTCAGGGAAAACGAAGGGATTTGTTATGATAAAAAAATCGATGGAAGTGACCCAAATGGAAAGGAAAAGATGGAAGAAATTTCCATCAGCGTTGAGAAGCAAAACATTGAAAGAATTCTTGAGAAACCTCATTTTGACGAGCCAAGAAGCCTTGATACGAGACAAAAAGGGAAAAAACGTAACGCCAATGATACAGGGGTGCAAATCCATGCGAAGAAATGTGTTAAAAGTCCTTATACGAAAATAACGGCCAAAGGTAATTTAAACTCTCCAAACAGAAGCGAAAACAATGCAACGAATAACTTAAAGGAAAAGTCATCACAGCGCAATGAAAACATGAGCACAGTAACGGAAAATCCCATCACGTATTTAACTGAAAAGACCAAATTAAGTGAGACTGCTTCAAAATCAAATGAAAACGACAGAAATGAGGTATATTCCAGATCTATTGAATCGCCTCTTCAGTCGAAAGTCACCGGGGAGAGCCGTACCCGCCAATCTGTGGACCATTCTGAGCACTTTGAGTTAGATCGCATTGGGGATAAACATTCCGGTCTAAATGGTACCAACAGCAATTCACAGTTTGAAAAGAACTCAGAATATGTATTAAACAAGCAATCTGATCACGAGGATACCAACGGGATTCCTCGAGAAAGATCAGACATGATGATCGATATTCCGAAGAGTGTCTCAAAACGCACGTCTTGTGCAACGACCTTGGCTTGGGAGGGATCGCCGCGTCTTAAGTCGATCGATAGAGGCCTGATGATAGCGCAGGAGACCGGTTTGATGATCGTTCAAACCTCTTCATTGTGCGTGGTGATCCCACGGGAGACTGGACAAGACCACCGTTTATTTAATGCTATTCGTCGGAAATGCGCGAGTTTCATCGTTCATCCGATGTTTGATTGGTTTATCACCAGTGTCATATTTCTAAACACTATCGCCTTGGCCGTAGAACATCATGGGATGAATCGCAAATTTGAGAAAGCATTGGATAACATTAATCTCGTAAGTATACAGAAATTGTATTAGGATTAGAATTAGTTAAGGACAAAATTGGCCAATCAGAGTCGTGTATTTCTGAGTTAACTAGGATTTAACTATGCAAAATGTAGTCAAAGAGTTAAGCTTGTTTCATCTCCCTTTGCATGGTTCATTTGATTCAAATGCAAGCCCCAGAGAAAACCAGCTTTTTAGTTAACCAGACTGAATTCTTCAATTTTGTTCATGTCCTTTTGAAACAATGATTTTTCGCAAATTAAATTGACTACATGCTCATTTTGGGCTATTTTTAATTCGTGCAATTACCCAGTTCTAATAATTTTCGAAATGTTTTTGAAAATCATCCTCACTAAATTACAGTAATGTCGACCACGTTTGCAACCATTTTCATTGGCGTTATAAATATTTCGCAAATGTCTCGCTAACATTAGCCATTAAAAATACTGTTCAATTCGACTATCGAAGGTATCCTGCCTACATCCAAGTGGAAGTGTTCTTCTGTCTTGTTAGTTCTCGACCAAAACTAATTCTTTCCACTGCGAAATCACCATCCTTACTGCTCTGTTTCGAGAAAAATTTCCATACATTAAAACCAACTTGATAAAACTCTTAAAACCTTCCTTAAACATTATTCAGTTGTACTCTTTTCTTTTTTCTTTACAGACGTGTACTTTTGTGTTCATTCTGGAAATGTTTCTCAAAGTTACAGCGCTCTCATTACAAGGCTACATTCAAAGTCGTTGGAACATACTGGACGGTTTGATCATTGTGATAAGCGTGGTGGAGCTGTTGATAGTGTGGTGTGTGCCTGATATCACCCATGGCCTGGGCTTCAGTGTACTCAGGACTTTTCGATTGGTAGGTAACTTTTGTGAAATGTGTTTTAAGTTCTACCCGTGATAATTATACTCATCCTGAAACGGAAGGGTTAATTTGAAGCCAAAATCGACATCAGCAAATCATCGTCGTCTTCAATACTTCAATCCTCTGCCGACAACTTGTGATCGTTTTTTCCTTGCTAGAATTGCTTTCTACCCTAAGGTTTTCTACTCATACTTTGTAAAAGTTCTGCGCCAAACAACGCGAAGTAGGAATTTGGGAAATCAGTGAGACGATGACAGATGTATATTTGAAATACCGCGTAGTCCCAGTGTATAGTGCAAACGCAAGATAAATTTTTAAGAAGTTGGTAGATTTGGCAATGAATTGGTGTGATTAGATTCGTTTATACCCGCATAACCGCGTATCAGCAATTCGTAGAATCACTAAAATGCGTGAAATATTATTTCCTACCAGGTGCGTATACTAAAGCTGGCACAATCCTGGGTAACGATGCGAGCTCTTCTGTCCACAATCGGCGCAAGCATTGGACAGCTTGGTAACCTCACCTTGCTGCTCGCAATCGTGACGTACACATTCGCTGTCATCGGCATGCAGCTGTTCTCTGGAAGCTTCACCCCGGAACATTTCGAAGACAGGAAAGTGCCGAGATGGAATTTTGGAGATTTCCTGCATTCGTTTATGATCATTTTCCGCGTCCTCTGCGGGGAATGGATCGAGCCGTTGGTTATGACCATGCACGTGACCACGCCGACTTCGGTAGTATTTTACTTCGCCGTCTTGATAATTGGAAACTTTTTGGTAAGTACAGGGGGAAGGGGGGTAGTTAAACCTAAAGACGGGCCTTACACTAGCAATTTTTGCTGCGATTTTATATATGCGATCATCTTCTTTTGATAGATGTGAACGAGTAATAAGTGACAAATGCTCTGATGTGTGCGAGCTCCTATTGAAACATCCGTAACTAATTCGCTTGTTCTCATCTACCAAAATATGAAAATCGCACATGAAATTGTAGCAAAAAGTCTTAACGGGCCTTAAGTTCCCTCAAGCCATTTGTGATATCCCATGCATTTTTTTACATTCAATGAAAAGTTATTCAACACATCATTCATGCCCTTTATTTCATACTTAGCTTTACATTACATTGCATTTTTCTTTCAGATTTTAAATCTTTTTCTTGCCCTTTTGCTAAACTCCTTTTCAACGGAATCATTGAACAGTGGGAAGCGCACGAGAGGATCAGCGAATATTCGAGAACGATTTCGTACCCTTATGAAGAAGTATCTGAACGTGATGCGCGCGTTTCGTGCGCCGCGCGTGTCTGCCGAGCACGAAACGAAAAGCGAGCGACATACGGAAAACGAAGGTGGTTTGCGTTCCGATGCCGTCCGAGAATGTGAATGTGAAATCGCGAGAAGTGGAGTAGAGATCGATGATAATCACCACATCCCTAAAAAGTTCTCTGTCTCGTCGAGATCGGAAGTCGTCGATGAAACATGTTCGCGGACGCAGTCACGTGACACATGGATGACGTCATCAGAGCATTCCCCGAAGCCGTTTGTTCCAGATTGTTTTCCGAAGTTTTGTTGCATGTGTTTTGGTGAAGAGAAGGCACGTCGTTCATTGGCGTTTAAGGCGTTCGTATTATCCCGAGGAAAAGTTCTCAGCGTTGTCAAACACAAATATTTTGATGCCTTTATTCTGTTTGTCATATTAATCAGCAGCATGTCATTGGTGAGTATTAGGCTCATGAAACTGCCAGAATCATAGAATTGTTATTTAAGGATGGGTCCCTAAGACCCTTGCTCTTTTTTGTGATGACCAAAAACTTTGGGCTAAAAAGTTGATAAGCATTTGGAAAATTCAAAACTGTGCGAAGCAGTTCCATGCTGGTCTCAGTTGTATTGTGCTATGGGTTTTTTTTTGGTGGTTATTTACCATGATGGTAGCCCATCTGTCTAAGGAAAAAGGAAGATATAATATTGCCGTTATGGAGTCAGAATGGGAGGGAAAAATCTACCTTTACAACTGTGTTTATGTAACAATAGAATGTTTGTGATGGTTCTTGTTTATTTCGTTTTGTGATGGTTAATTAGGCGCTTGAAGATATCCACTTGGACTCCAAACCAGATCTGAAAGCCTTCCTAAAGATGTTCAACCTTGTTGTGGCCGTTATTTTCGTCTTGGAATTCCTGCTGAAGTTGTTTGCCTTTGGTTTCGTTCACTACTTCCGTGATGCTTGGAATTGTCTTGATTTTTTTATTGTCGTGGTAGGTCAATGTAGTAATTATTCGCAAAGCGATCTATCAATAGATGCGTACTCGTGTTCAACCATAATTCAACAAAGATCGAAACAATAAATTGTAAAACACCGAGCAAACGAGAAATAATTGGTTATGGTTTATCCAATTCAGACTTGTTGATCAGGGGGCGGTTCTTCAAAGTTGAATAAAATCTTTACATTAATTTTTTTATCACCTGTTTACAAAGTTGAATGTTTTTTTCATAACGAACAGTGGTTCAGAAGCACATAAACTAAAACACTGGATTAATATTTAACCCAGGGTTAGCGCTAATTTAGCTTTGAACAACTGGCCCCAGAAAATTTGATTTAGTCAAAGAATACCCGAGACAAAAGGAATTACCAGCAACCGAAGATATGATTGGTTAAAGCAAAAAGCTTTTGATTTCCCTGACGTCGGTGTTTCTTCTTTTTTGTAGGTGTCTATCGTGAGTCTTGTTGGCAGCGCTGGTGATGGGAACCTGACCGCGTTCCGTTCTTTACGAACTTTGCGAGCCTTGCGACCATTAAGGGCAATCCCTCGTTGGAAAGGCATGAAGGTAAAGTGAATTGTGTCTTCCAAAAATTTTCCACAGGAAAGCAGCCTTGCGTTGTGGCGGTATGCAAAGGTTGCGCAAAAAGACTAACGAATCATTTTCAATTAATTTGTGGAAGAACTTTGACACCTTTTTAAGTTTCCATATCAATACTGAGCCGTGCAGAAATACATAACTCTGAAAATTTAGTACCAATATATTTTGCTGAAAGATTTTGCTATTTTATTCGGCGCTATATTCTTGAAGTAATGTTGTTTTTATTTATTTATGGTCCGGTCAATATTTGCCTGAGATTACATTACTTTTCAAGCATTCTTGCGCTGCTTGAAAAAATCACTATCCAGCCTTCGTTCGACCGCTCCCTGGCCCAGTATTTCTTTATTTCCATACCTAACGCATCTATATTATATAGGTTGTGGTGAACTCACTTTTATCCGCTATTCCTGAAATTGGCAATGTCTCCTTGGTGTGTTCAATATTCTGGCTTATATTTAGCGTGATGGGCGTTCAGTTCTTCGGGGGAAAGTTTTACAAATGTCTCGACGAGGATGGGGATATCTTGCCGCATACGACAGTACCAGACAAAAACAGTTGCCTCGCAATGAACTACACTTGGAAGAATTCCGATATTAATTTTGACAATTCGATCGCGGGCTTTCTGGCACTTTTCCAAGTGGTACGTTTTTGTGTTGCTTGTCAGTGGTGCTGAAACGTTGCATTAAATGGAAAATTAAGTGGCCAGTCAACCTGACCTCCTCCATAAATAGCTACTTAGCAGACAGTTTGTGTGTACATGTTACGAAGCGTAATCAGGGCCCTGCTTTCTGGCAACCTGCAATGCAATTCCACTTTTAAGAGATGAAAATTGGCAAAGAGTCTTTTAAATGTCAGTTTAAAGAACTTTCATTGAGTGTGATTACCACAAACGTTTCTTAGTTGTTAAATTTGCATCTCTCAAAAGTAGAATCGTATTACAAGTTGCATGAAAAATGGCACCGTGTAATCCAGAGCCTTTAGATAGGCCGATGTATAAAGTGCAAATTAACTACCAGCAAAAATGAGAAATTTTTTTTTTGGCGTTCACCCGACTAGATGTCATTAGATTGTTGCATCTTCACCGCTTCTTCGCGTCCGATTGAGTTTACTTGCGAAATTGACAAGTCGCTTTACGTTGTTTTTTAGGCAACATTCGAGGGTTGGATCGAAGTAATGGCTGACGCAGCCGACGTGACAGAGGTATAGGCCTCTTTCTATATCACGACTTAGTTGATTGCCCTAACCCCTAATCCCTGATCAGACAAAAGATCTAGAAAATTTATAAATTGATAAGCTTCGCACGCTTATCACATGACAGACATGCTTTCTACGAAATGTTCGCGAAATGAAACTGCAAAAACAAGCATTCCCGCTATCTTAAGGACCATAATATCGTGAAACAAATTCAATCGAATATCTTTCCCTTGACAAACTTGCATGTGCGTATTTCAATTCAAACACTTGGATTTTGGCAAACAATTTTAGGGTCAACAATTTTCTATAGCTTGGTCTTTTGTTTTTACGGTGTTCATGCAGAATAATATGCTCATAAATTCTTCCAGGTTGATCAGCAGCCGGAAAGAGACAAGAATCACATCGCCCACCTCTACTTTGTCGTTTTCGTTTTGTTCGGATCGTTTTTCGTGCTCAATCTCTTCGTTGGCGTGATCATCGATAATTTTAATCGCCTCAAGAAGGAATACGAAAGTGGAGCTGTTGGTTTGTTTCTCACGGAGACGCAGAGAGCGTGGTACGACACGTTGAAGAAAGCTGCTCGGAAGAAGCCCCGAAAAGTCACGAAAAGACCAAAGGTACTTAAATATATGATTTTTTTTATAAAGTTATGTTTAGATGCCGTGGTTTTCATTAGTCGAGCTAATTGATGAGAAACGCGGTGTCTGAAATGAAATATAGTAATGCACCACTTGATATCAAAGGCGGCTGAATAAACTGCTTGGTGTTTACCACCGCGCTCCGCACCAAATATATCAAGCTCTTCCGACTGACGTTTTGGTCAGTTCTTCTTGCAATTTTCGCTGGCAAATGACTTTAAACTGATACGGTATTTAAAAGGAAACAAGCGTATAGAATACGAAATTTTTTTGCGGATTCAAATGGGTCGTAAAACGGCAATCGCTTAAATAAACAAGACGCCGATTCGGCGTTTAACTTCAGTTCCTTTAAGCGCTGCAGGGTCAATGAATAATGATTTTTATTATTATCATATATTCATGGGCTCATTCAAGAGTGGTAAAAGCATTGACTACAAATACGATTGCCCACACAGGGCTCGACAATGGGGTTATTTCACCAGAAGATAATTAAAAACGTTCGGCTGAGAAGATGTTCAGTTTATTAAAATATCAGGAACGCACTTTAAAGCACTTGCGATATTTAGCAAGAAAGCTAGCTTGCTGCATAATTGCATAAGTCTATTAAACTGTTATCTTGAGTTAAATTTATTTAAATTTTGCTTTTAAACAGTTTCTTAAAGCGCACAGAAGTAGAAAAAGGTTCATTCTATATCGGCAACAATGTAGCTGAGAGATGTATGAAACGCGCGTTTAAGCAAATACGTTAAACTTTGTGAAACTCCAATGCTTTTTCCGCCAGAATATGATTAAAATGGCCTTTCCATTTAGTATATGTTGATTTTTAAAGTCTCGTTTATTGAAATATCAAGAGCTTTGTCAAATATTTAGCAAATAATGAGTTCAACCATTTATATTTTATATCTATATACTTGGCGGCAAAGCAAGCGGTGAATGTTTCGCTGCAAAAAAACCATCCAATTATATGCGAATGTGTACCGGCAATGCTTTGCCAAGATGGCCGGCCTACTAGACTAACATCAGTGCCTTCATATTTTGAATAAACAATTCGCCATTTGGCCGGCAATGACGGTTTTTTAATCATTTTTAGCCATTATGTCATTAAAAAATGTACTAGTAAGTAGTTGAAAGTTAAGTAACTTCTTTCTTGCCATGTAGCTACAAATTGAATCGCTAGACTCATGAAGCATTGCGGCAGGTTATACTACGCTTTCAAAAAAGGTTTGTGTCTCGTATTTGACTGAGGATAATAGTCCGCTGTTCATAGAGTAGCCTCGTGTCGTCTCGTTTCCCGAACTAGCTATCCGGTGCAGAGGCTTTTCATTTTTACGATGGTTTCGTTTCATATTGGCTGACCGTTTCCAAAACGTCACCAACTGCTTGTCCAATATTCCATATATGAAAGGATTCGCTGAATTCGAGCCAGCAATGCTCAAAACTTGGGCAAAATATTGTAGCCAATTATATTTGATCAGCAGATTTCCATTACCAATCTTCAAGATAAGAAACACCGCCATAAGAATGTTTCCAACACCGTAGCAGAGAACGGTTACAAGACAAACAAAAAAAGTACGTCGATTTCCACGATATTCATATCTCGATGTTTTCCTCGTTCGGCTGTACGATCGTGCGAACTTCATCTGTTGTTTCTGCTTGTCGAGTGATTGGCAAACTTTATAATAGACCGCAGCGAGGAATATTACTGGGACGACATAAAATATCAGGGCATATGAATAGCGAAAGGTCCAATAGGCCGTGTTCTTCTGCCGTATCAAGCATTCCGGGATGCCTGCTCCGTAGCCTGCGATCAAGGCAAGAATGTAGCCCAAACCACAAACAATTTTCAATTTCCTTCGACTGATGGCAGGTTTCAAGGGATGAAGAGTAGCGCGATAACGAAGAATTGCGATGATCACCATCATGTAGACTCCTGCGAATTGAAACACATACCTGATATCGTGGAAAAAGCAATAAATCGTGGAGCGTGGTAGAAACGTCTTCTCCACGAAATATTCGTTAAGGACGTGCGCAAAGGTTGCAATCAAAATCATCAGATCGCAAAACGCAAGATGCAATACGAGATAATAAAAGTGCCTTTTTAACAGGCGCCTTTTTTGGCTTGCTAAGGAAATGATGACCAAAATGTTACCGAGAATTCCGAAAACAAGGAATAAAATGTAGGAATATCGAAAGGCATCGCGCGTCGTCCTCTCCATCGCGTCTCCACACTAGGTTAGACGGCCCTAGTTTATACGTCGCGTTTTGATCGCATCAAATGCAGTTCAAACAATAGATAACGAAGTTTTCCCCCTCTCTATTGTTTGAATTGCATTTGACGCGACCAACATGCGACGTATAATCATATTGGTCGGAAAACATTGTTGATTTTAACTTAATTAACTGTCGCGCGCAGCTATTTTGCGAGTCAAACAAATTAGGGAAGTTATTGTACTTATTAAAAACAATCCACATTGTAATTTTTAAATCCTAAGTAGAAAGCCATTTTCAATGAAGTTTTAAAGGCCCCGACCCGTTGCTAATTCTGCAAGTCGATCATCTTTGTATGTAAAATAAACTTACGTGGTGTACCTACAAGCTAAATTACTTATCGTCTGTTACCATGCAAACATACAATAATATTATTAGTTTTTAAAGTCAATAAACTGCGTCTACACATGCAGGTGGCTGTAAGTAAATATATGAAATGGCTGCATTTTCAGTAATTATTATGTTCGTGTTTCCTGTTCCTGGCCTAACTGTGAAATGTGTATGATTTTCTTCCGAAATTTATAATTGTAAGACCATTTATCTCTAGAATACGATTCCAGAGCATTCTAATTGTCTTACTTTCTTTCCCTCTTGAAACAAAGTCTCCAAAATGTTAGCAATTTTTTGTCCAATATTCCATATATGAGAGGATTGACTGAGTGTGATCCAGCAATTCTTAAAACGAAAGCTAAATAAATGAACCAAACGTGTTTCGTGGGTATGTTATACCTGTCGACAACTTTCAGAATGAGAAACACAGACGCGAGAAGATTTCCAACTCCATAGCAAAGAACGGTTCCGACACAAACAATGAAAGTTCGCCGGTTTTTGAAATAATTCACGATTGTAAAGAACGAGTGAGTAGTACTTTGTGTCACCGGGTTTGACCCTAAGCTCTTCAGATATATGTTTTGGTTCACAAGTGCCCGATATACTTTGTAATAAAGTACAGCCATAACTACTGTTGGCCCATAGTAAAAGAAGAATGATGTGAATGTATAGGTCAACTTCCTATAGTTGCTTCTAGCAAGGCGGTTTTCTACAAAACATATCGGTGTAGATCCTCCGTAACCTATAATCAAGCCAAGAATGTACCCTGAGCTACAAATAACTTTCAATTTCCGTCGACTGATGTCTGATTTTAAGGGATGAACAGCAGCGCCATAACGAAGAACTGAAATGGCCAACATCATGTAGACTCCTGCGATTCGAAAGACAACTCTACCTATGAGAAAAAGGCAATATGCTTTCGCAGGCGCTCTTTCGGCAAGGAATACATCCTTCTGGTCGCAAATCCTTAAAACCAGCCATCCCAGATCACAGATCGCGAGGTGTAAAACAAGAAAGTAGTAGTTGTTTTTCAACAATCTTCTTTGTCTTAATATGGAGATGATGACCAAAATGTTGCCGAGAATTCCGAATATAACAACCGAAGTAAAAGTATATACAAATGCAGCTGCACTGTCCATCGTCTCTGAATGCATCGAAATTCTGACTAAACCGTAATTATATTTCTAGTGAGCAATTTAGGGTGAAATTGTTCTGTTGTTCTTTCTATCTGTGGTTTTGTTTAAAAACGAAAAAAATTCAAAATAAATTTATATAATGTTATTCTTTTAGTGTAATTTGAATAACTGCTATATACTTGAATACCAGATGTATTTTCTGAACTATTTATTAGGATCGAATACTCGACGACCATAGGTGGTGCTGCTGGTGGTAGTAGTAGTGCTTTTTGAAGCCCAGACAATAGAAAGGTTTAGGCAGATAACATCACTTTGGACCATGATGATATAAAAATCATTATTTTCAACGCGATTATCTCAAGATTGTGTTGAAGAATAATTATACTGTATTATTCACAATGCATAAATTGCTATAAGAATCTCGAGTTTATATCCTCTCAATTAACAATAACAGTTTGTTGTCATGGAAAAAACCATTTCTAAACTACAGCAGCTGTATTTATAATGTGCATGCATCGAATAATATTGTCTTTAAGAACGGGTTAGAAACATGCATGTTCCTGCTTTATATAAATTGATTTTCAATTTCAACCCATCAAACTGCAAATCAGTAAATCAACTGTTCATTACAAACGTAGCCATAATAAATCAATCATCATAGAATATATCAATTGCTCATATTGATCGGTTGCTTTACAAAAATCTTCAGATGTCTTCGGAAAACCTCCCCTGTATCTCCTTGTTCACTGACCAATTAGAATTTCCCAATAATAAAAGAAAAATTTGATTGGTCGATGATGCGCGTAAGCCGCACCAGGCAACCTCGCAATATTACATCTGCTATATTGTATACAGCTGTAGAAAGAACAAAACGGTAGTAGGAACATAAAAAAGACGTGCAGCAACATAATTGAAACGAAAATTATTTGCATTTAAGTTTTCATTTTCGATCTCATAAGTAACATGCAACGATATTAGCCATTTTCCAATCGAGCTAAGTGAGTACTGGGTCTAGTCGCGAACCGCAAAGCATCTATGGACTGTTTGGAGGGACAAATGATTTCAGACTTATATTTCCTGTCCCTCCAAATAGTCCAGAGATTTTTACCGCTCGCAACTAGACCCAGTACCCTGCTCGATTGGGAAATAACTAATCGGTCAAACGCGGATAGTTCTTTTGTGCGATTCCATGGATTCGCGAATAAAATTGTCTAAATTTATTCTTATATTATATAATTACATTAG